GTTCATTTACACCAGGTTTATCTTTAATACGATACTTTTTTCATGTGTGTATGCCCCTTTTACTACATGGTGAATCTTTATAACATAGAGGTGTCGTGGTGTAGTGCATATGTCACCGGACTGTAGATAACAGGGTTTGTGGTTCGAGTCCCACCGCAACACTTTGGCAAGACATTAATCTACATTTGCCACTCTCCTCTTAGGTGAAATAAATGGGTACCTGTTAGGAAGAAATCCCTTGAAATCTTTAACGCCTATTATGGCAGCTCAGCTACAGCCGGGGTAATAATATAATACTTTGCATTAAGCGCAATAGATTATATTCATATAGGGCTGTGCTATTTAAATGGACCTATTATTATATTTCTATACAAGTTTTGTTTAAATTTCTTCTAATGTGAAAAGGGCAGTAGTTGTTTTACCCCAGACACAGACAGGTGAAATGTCTTGCCCACGTCTTGGCAAAAAAAGAAAGAAATATGGGTCAGACATTATTGCGCATTCATCTCAGTTCCTCCTGGTCTCATTGGATCTAAGATAAGACGAGGGGAAGTTGAATGAGGCTATAACATGAAATGGACGTTTAAAGGGGTCTAGTGCTGACTAGGTCCTTCACTACATACACGGGAATGTTGGTTTCCACTTTAGTTGTTTTTTTTGCCATTGGAGGTACATGTACATGTAGATCCTGACTACTACTTTGAAAGTTTAATAATAAGTTTAATGTCTTTGGACATAGAATATGCACATTTTGTTTCTTCTTGATACACAAACACACATGTATCTTTGCACTGAAATTTGTTAGATTTTGGGCACCCATGTGTCCAGAGAGCTTATTACTGCAAAACCAGTAACTTTCATGATCCTACCGTGACTCTCCTGAGTGGATAAGATTCGACAAAATTTTCATGCCCCCTAATAGTTGAATCACTGTCTAAACAAAACTTCTAAAATAAGTCTAAATTTTGTGCTATTTGCAAAAGTTTCTTGGTGTGGATCAAATTTTCTGTTTTTGCAGTAGTGATATGCCTTATTTTGTTTATGAAGATGCATGTACTTCTACCATGCAATTCTATTTATAAAACAGTTAATGTAATGATATAAATGTCCTCTTCTATGATTCTATCTGATAATCATTGTATATCTAACAGCCTTTTCACACACAGCTAAAATTCTATAAACATGATTAGTTAAAAGGGCTTTAAACTAATCAGCTGTACATACGACATCATTCACACTCAGAAATTTCGGTGCGATTGTAATCGTTTTGTGATTAACTACTGCTCTTAAAATGCGCAGTAGTGCCATTGCGCATTGAAGATCAGGTCATATCAAACAAAGCGCACGCTCCATCCAGTTTAAACACATTTAAACCGTTCACACACAAAATGTCAAGCTCTCTAGATACAAACTTCGTATCTGCAGCCTGCTTTGAGGGGCGTATGAATCGCGACTTCGTATCTATCCGGACATCGTATAAATGATGATCACACAGGGAAAATTTTCTTTAAAGGTGTTTAAAACTGTTGAGTTAAACATGTTTATACTAATCATCTCTAGATACGATGCATTTTAGCTGTGTGTGTAAAGGCTGTATGTGTACCTTGGTATATTTGAGACTAAATACGATGAAAAGGATTTTACACGGTGACGTACCCTGGACATCTCTTGTCATGTCGTCTGCACTTGATTTATTAGTGACTAACTTTGAAAGAGGAAGGAAGGAAGCAATTTGAAGCCCATTTAAACAACCCTTATCTCCATCTGTCCCCCTCTCTCTCCCTTTCTCTCTCACTCACTATCTCTCTCTCTCTCTGTCTTTGTCTCTCTCTCTGTCCTCTCTGACTTTCTAATTTACTCACAGCCTCTCACAACCCTTCCCTCTTTTTCTATCTGTCCATGTCTCATTTTTTTCTTTCTCTCCTATTATACATATGCATCTGTTTTGATCTTATCATCCTCTTCTCTCCTGCTTTAAATTCTTTGTTCCTGTCTGTATCCCTACATGTATGACTGCCTCTCTCTCAACGTTCTTTGCTCCCTGGTTCTATCTATTTATTTTATCCCTCATATTCTAGATCTCCTCGCCCCTCCCTCCATCTCATTTGCATCTCCCCTCCTCCTTCTCTCTCTTTCCATCAATTAAATAATATTGATTTATTTCTCTTTTGTAATAATTCCTCTCTCACCCCTTTTGTATGTCTACAACATCTGTTTGTCTCAGTTTCAGCCTCAGTCTCTCTCTCACTGTCTCCCTCCCCTCTCTCTGCATCTTCACTCATCACTCTGTCTCTCTCTCTCTCAAGTTTTTATTTTCTTTCTTTCTTTCTTTCTCTCTTTCTCTCTCCTTCTGCCTCCCTCCTGTCTCTCTCTCTCTCTCTCTATCCCCAGGGAAAAAATATCAATTTTTGTTTTTGTTTTTTTGTTTTTTTGGGGCGGCTACTTTTCAAGCTTGCTTGCATGAGAGTAACACATTTGTTCTGCATTGAATTCTACGCAAATTGGGGTGGGAGGGGGGGGGGGGGGGGGGGGGCTTTTTGTGACTTTCGGGGCTCTTTTGGGGCTAATTCACCCGAGTCCCCATGTATTTTTTCCCCTGCTACCCCCCTACATGTATCTCTCTCTCTCTCTCTCTTTTATTCTCTCACAGTCTCTCACACATCGCTATCATACCCTGTCTGAACCATGCCTTGGTTGACAGACATTTTCCCCGAAGACCAGTTTTTCTCATGTTCACCTTTTGGAATGAGTACACCTGAGACACTACGACTTGTTGACATATTTTGAACTTCTAATCAGTCTAGAAAACGAGAGCACTGGATTAAAGAGCAAAGAAGAAGAGGAGACATAAAGAGATAAGAATGAGAGAAACTAGAATGGACATGAGAAAGGGAATACAGAAATGCTCCATCTCACAATGAATGGTGGTCCTGAGTATAAGAAAGTCACAGCTTAAATGTACAAGTTTTTTAAAGACCAACTGCACTTGACCCCTCTCCCCTTCCACACCATTTTTAGTTCACAGATCTGTAAACCAGATCCTAATACCGATACATGATTTCATAGTGACTCACTCACTCACTTGCTCAAATCAAAATCAAACTCATGATTGAAAAAAATACCATAATTTCATGTACCGGTATTGAGATCCAAGGGATTACTCTGATTTTGATGTAGACTTTCTTAAAGTCACACTGTCCTACTTGGAGCTACTTGCTCGGAGTTGCTCCCTCTATATAGAAAACAATGCCTAATCGGTGATCATTGGTCCCCCATGATCCTTTTTTTCTTATGTTAATTGAGAGCTGAGTTGATGAAATAACCACCTGTCCAGTGACCTTGCAGGGCGGTATAATCCCTCCTATAAACTAGTACAGATAAGCTTTAAACTGAATAGAATATACATGTAGTTAATATCTTTGTCACTTTTTCTTAAATCAATAGGAATATTCTCCTATCAACACAATAATAAAATCATTGATTGAGTTTCAGAGAACAGGGGTACAGTTTGACCTGATTTTGAGGTCTATTCCAGGCTAGACTATCCCTTTTCTCATCTTTCCTCCAATCTCTCTTCGATAGCGGTCCAGCGACTATCATCTTCTGTCTCTGTCCGTTAGCCCCCAGGTCATGTGACTGTCAGTCCTGTTTGTTGACAGACCCAATACTTGTTATGGGCATCACTTTACATTCATTCCTTCCTCAACTGTCAGTTTTACCCCTTCCCCTGAATGTCAATCCATTACCTGCCCCCCCTCCTATACATCTAAGCCCTTCTTCCACTCAAACTAGTCCATAGCAAACAGCAATATAAGAAACATTCTACTGCGGTTATAATTGAATGAGTTTGTAACGAGTGAGCTGATGCAGAATGAAATAAAATCTGTTCTCACTTTCATACGAGACATTGTTTTTGTTGTTGTTGTTGGTGGTGATGGTGGACTTGGGGTATCGTTGTTGGTGTTAGTGTTGTTGTTGATGTTATTGCTGTTGTTGATGTTGTTTATTATTGCTTGAAATGATGTTAATTTTGCTCTATTTTGTTCTTTTTTATGGGGGGAAGGGAATAATAAATGTCAATGGTCACTGTATTTAAATCTTCTTAATGAGCTAGATGATGCTTACACACATGATTATGTTCCAGAATAATTAACCCTGTGCCTTACATATATGAACATGACAGTCTACACAAACATCTAGGCAACCATAAAAAACAACACCAACAAAAAGCAATCGAAGAGCAATATTATGCCATTCTGAACCATATCGAGGGAACGACTTCGCCCTTTGAGGATGATCTGCACTACCAGGCAACATCGACCCGAACCTGCGATTTCAAATCAGACTACAGATGCGTCTCCCTGGTGAACAGATGGATATCGCGACCAGACTTTCGTCGTGTAACCGGACACGCAAACAAAGAGGGCAACAAGAACAACAAGGCTACCAACAAACAATGATGCGGTTAGAACGAGAGGGAGAGATATGGGTTAGATAATGGTCTGGTGACTCAGGATTGGTGGAGGAGCGATGGCCCAGTTCAGACTAGAGGAATGTTATACAAAAAACGTAAATAGAAACGTCATTTAAAGAATCAATTTATAGCAAAAGGGGTGCCTGCAATGGATAAGAACGTGTAAAAGAGAAACACTTCTTAAAGAAACCACTTTTGAAAAGGTCAGTTTACATGACAGCTGGCCAATCCTCAGTGCCCGCTTACGATTAGCCCAGCCCAGTTATACGATTTTCGTACAATACAACATTCAGATGACAACAGGAGCCCGATTCTCTTTAAAATTTTTGTTCAAAATGACGCTCAAACAAAGCTTTTTTGCTTCAATACGTGTATGTTTTGTTACATGACTTTCAGACTACAAGAAAATTCATCGCTTTTCATGTGTACAATGTAGATACATGGTTTTTTAAACCGTTAATTCGGGTGGTCTGAACTGGGGGTGAGATGTGAGCTAGGTATGTTGGTTTGGAAACATGTTGGTGAATCAGAGATGTGTCTTGTTGAGTGATGGAGTGATCTTGCCCCTGGAGAACTCAACATGGGTGGTTTCTAACCGTGTCGCTATGATGGAAATGAACAGCAATCTCATGATGCTTCAAGCAACTAAGGGTGCATTCAAGCGACACTTTTTCACCCTAGAGACATGGTTTTCAAAGACGTTTAGTTTAAAACACGGTTGCGTTTAAGCGATTTTTTGGTCGGTTGTAAAAAATAAACGTGTTTAAAAATGCAAACATAAAACGCTGAAAAAGATTCGTTTTGTAACATGATTCTGCAGAATCACGGTCGCTAAAAACTGCTTGAACGCAACAGAGATCTCAATCATAATTCTATGACGTCATTATCGTGGCCTCCTTTCGGTTTGGCCGACAGTTGACCGTAAACAAATTTAGAAAGCGCACACCAAAGTTGACCTTTGCTTTCTAGGTCAAACTGCGCAGTGTGATGCGCGGTGGATGGGCTCCAAATGAGCGAGAATCAGCGTTGATGGAAAATCGCTTGAACGATCTCACGCAGTATGCAACGGCGTTTTGATTTATGATTCATATTTGTGATTCTAGCTTCAAAAAATTGCTTGAATGCACCCTTAAAGACAATACCATTATAATAAACCTTCATTCAGCTGCACAAGCTAATTATCTGGGAGAAATATATAAAGGACAGCAGAACTTGGGCTGTAGACAACGTTGGAAGCGCATTGGAATCAAAACCCTTTGCTGAAAGATTCAAAAGTAGAACTAAAAGAAAAAGAAGCACTCATTTGGTACTTGGTTGGGTAATCCCTTTGGCAGCTCACTCAGGAAGCTATACTGGGATGGTAGGTGAGGCAAGTGACTACAAGGAGTGTCATGAATTGCTGGAATGGTGTGTGGACAAAGCACTTGTCAATTTACAGTAAAATATGCTAAAATATGCTAAGTCCAGTGCAAGTAAAAACCAAGCTAGTAAGCTTATATGATGTGAGAACCAACGGGGGGCTGCATCATTCTGATGGAGGGTAGAGCACCCTCCTTGAAGTTGGTTATTCCTGTTGCATTTTGCGTCAGCAATATATCAACTGACAATGAACATATCTTTCAAAATCTATATATTTAAATATTTTGTGGCTGACTAATGCCGTATTGGGGCTTTAAGATGAAGAATTAGCAGATTAAGATTTAAGTAAGTCACATTTGATAGGACTGATATTATCAACATATTGGGTTCTGATAGAATTCTTCCATTTGTGGCTTATGAATTCTTTTTTTTGAGCTTTAAAGTTAGTGTACCGGTATCCCTTTTGCAGCCAACATCAAATTCTGTAGAACTTTGCAGGAATTATGAATACCGGTATGTCACGTATGTCTTATCTGTGAAATATGCAAGGGAACCTGTTTACTTTCTAGAGTTCACTGTCAGACACCATTGAGTGACTGACTCACCATTTTTCGTCTTTGGTAATAACATACATAAAATGAGCTGTAAAAGGGTACATAAGCATATGTCTACATCAATAACCCACTTCTTGTAATAGCCAAAATTAAACTGATTGAATCCTTGTGCAAAACAAAACGTATGACCATTCGATACAAGGGTATGAAAATCAGACAATTTAATTAAACGACCGCGATCGCTAAATTTGATTGGACAACTAACAGTTATTATTTTTCCACAAAAAGACATTTTCAAGCCCTCTTGTTTTGAGGGCAGTTAGTACTACATGTATCTTTCAAATGCCGTTGGAATTCAACCTTTTCCTCTTTTGGGGCCTGCAAATGGAACATGAGCGTCCCTGGACGGTGTGTGCGCTCTATAAGTTTACACTATTCTTATAGTACCTTTATGAAGAATAAGAAATTGCAGATGAAGATAAGAAGGTCTGATGGGATTGAAAATCAAGAATATTGGGTTCAGATAGAAATCTATATTTTGTGGCTTATTAAATCTGTGTTTGGGCTTCAAGATGAAGCAGAAAAAGCTGATGAAAATAAAAATGTCACTTTTAATGGGCCTAACAAATTGAGTTCAGACAGACTACTCCATATTTTGTGGCTTACTAAATCTGTGTTTGGGCTTTAAGATGAGAAAGAAATAGTAGATGAAGATAAGGAGGTCGAGTTTGATAGCATTGATAATGAGAGTACAGGATTAGGTTCTGAAAGAATTCTTCTATTTTGTGGCTTATTAATCCTGTATTTTGGCTTCAAAAAGAAGAAGAAATAGCAGATGAAGATAGAGAAGGTCATCTTTGATGGAATTGTTAATGCAAGTATTGGGTTCACTTTGAAATCAATATTTTGTGGCTTAACAAGAAATAGACCCCGTTCTCATTCACTTCGTTGGAGCGGTCTAACTAAGACCCGTTCCTCAGGAGCAGTTCTTAGGTGAGTGAGAACGGTCAAAGTGGTCCAGGAAGTGGACTTCTGGACCGCTCCAGAAGACCACCTCGGGAGGTGGTCTTGAGGAACGGGTCTTATTAAGAGCGGTTTGGACCGCTCTAACGTGCAATGTGAACGGAAGCGTACTTTGACCGGAAGTGAGCTAGTGACGTTCCGTGCGAAACATGTAGTACGGTATACGGTTTGTATTCCGCGCGCGAAAAAATTGACCTGACCTGAGCTGCCATAGCAACAAGACCACTTTGACTCGTGGAGCGGTTTGAGCCATAAATAACTGCTCGGAGTGTGAACGCTCGCAAACCGTTCCTCAAGACCCGTTCCTCTGGAGCGGTCTAACTAAGACCACTTTCAAAGTGAGTGAGAACGGGGTCTTAGATTAAGATTGGGCAAGAGGGGGTTGCTAATATTTTTTTTGCCTGGCTTACTAACGCTGTGTTTGGGCTTTAAGATGAAGAAGAAATAGCCGATGAAGATAAGAAGGTCAAGTTTGATGGGACTAACAATGAGACTATTGGGTTCAGACAGATTTCTCCTACTTTGTGGCTTACTAATGCTGTATTTTGGCTTTAAAAAGAATTTTTAAAAAAGCAGATAAAGATAAGAAGGTCAAATTTGATGGGAATGATGATGAGGATATTAGGTTCAGACAGATTTTCCTGCTTATTCCCCACATAGTCTACAAGCCTAAGGTGTTCTTGCCAGACACAACATACATAAATCTGTTTCTCCATCTCATGATTTTGATACCTTCTCTGCCCACAATGGACGCAAGACACACCTGTTCACAGAAGACATAGTATTCTCTCACATTATAGGCCTAAAAAGCCTTTTTCCCCATCTCACAGGGAGCATTATAAGCCCAGAGACCATGAATCACATAACAAGACTTTCCAATAAATCCAAAGACTAAGATCGACTTTAAGTTGGACTTAACTATGGCAGGCTGTTCATGCCACTAGTTCCTCTAAACCATTCCTGGCGTTGGTTTCTCAAGGGACGTATAAATCGTGGTTACAAATCTACAGACTTTCCATTTTTTGATAGTTCATTATTGAAGGAAAAAATATTATCCAAAGATCATAAATTCAGAGACCAACAGTGAGAGCAACCAGTGGCATGAATGGCCTGCCATATTTAAGTCCAACTTAAAGTCGATCTTAGGCTTTGTGAAACACCCCCTGATCTGTGTTATTTCATGTAATAAGTGACATTATCTACCAAATAAGGGCATTTAAGTCACATACCAAGACATTCCACTAAGTTCTAATTTGTGTTCTTTTCATGTCATAAGTAACATTATCCGCCAAAAAAGGGCAGTCACATCAGAAGACTTATATGTACAGAGTCTAATTCTGTTTTGTATTTATCCATCTCATACATGTATGTGACCATATCTGACACAGGCAGGTATAAGTCACATGACCACTTTCAAACACAATAGTTTCAAAATGCCCTTTCCCATGTGATGGTTGACTTTCATGAAAATGTATGATGAAAAAAAGAAAAAAGATGCAGAAACCAATACATCAAATCAAATCAAATCAAATACATGTAAGTCACATCAGAAGACCAAAATACAAAGTCTAAATCTATTATGTATCTATCCATTTCCCAATGTTGTCACATGTATACGAACGGAACAATTCCAAAGTGCCCCTTTTCCATGTGATGAGTGACTTTCTCAGGCTTACCGGGCGTAATTCACATCACAAGATTTTCATACATGTACATTGTACATAGCAGTGTCAACCTGCAGCCCTTGATGTTGTGAATGACCTTTTCTGCTAAAGAAGGGTGTAAGTCACATCTAATAAAGACCTTCACATACATAGCAGTCTCAATTTGAGTGTCTTTAACTAATAAAGTGACCTTCTCTATCCAAAAGGGGGGTAAGTCACATAACAAACAGGTACAGTACATGATCTTAAAGCCCCAATGCACTACTTGTAGCTACTTGCGCCCTCTATATAACAAATAATGGCTAATCGGTGACCATTGGTCCCCCATGATTCTCTTTTTCTTACGTTATTTGAGAGCTGAGTTGATGAGATAACCACCTGTCCAGTGACCTTGCAGGGTGGTCTAATCCCTCCTTTGCACTATAACAGATGTGCTTTAACTTGTTCCTCTTCCCCAGTTAACTTCTCCTATAAACTTTGTTGGTGGATAAATGGAATCGCTCTCACACTGTGGGTTATGCCAATCTGGCACCCGTTTTACAAAGCCTTCTTTCAATGACAAATGACAAAAATCAGTGACAATTCTGCTGTTAACCAATCAGAAGGAAGGATTTCACTAGCTTATAACAAACACTGTCATTTGTCGCTGATGACAGGTTTCGTGAAATGGGGCCCAGGTTTCACAATCACATACATGTATAGCAGCAGTATGAGGGATTTAAATGGATTAAAGCCCCGTCTTAATAGAACTATTTCGATCTCACCCGAGCGACATGTGGATGAGAAACAGTGGGGGTCTGATCGTAAAACACGGGGTGAGCTTTTGAACACCGTCTTAATCAGCCATCCGCAAAAACCTCACCCGGGTAGGTTACCATAACAACCGCACCTCCCCCATCGCGATCAGCTCGCGCGCGCTGTGTACATACATTTTTTCACGGCGATGACGTAATTTACCCGGGTAAATATCACCCTGGCTCGACTAGGGTGAGATTTACCTCGATATTGTCCGGATGTTACCCTGATTGACGCGTCTAAATTGGAAGTGGGTAAATGTCATCCGGACAACGTTCGGAGGACACCGCAACTTTTTTTTCCAGTTAAGACGGGGTTTAATATGACATATTCATCATGCAATAACTCTTCAATTGTCACAAAGTGTGAATCTAAATAAGGTGTATATACATGTAGATATACAGTCAAACCTGTCTACATGTATAGCGACCGCCCGAAGGGAAACACAAAAAGTGGTCTTTGTAGACAGGTTCCTTTAGTACATGTTTCAATGAGAAACCATTTTCAAGGGAAACAAAAAATGTGGTCTTTGTAGACAGGTTCCTCTAGTACTTAACATGTTTCAATGGGAAACCATTTTCAAGGGAAACAAAAAATGTGGTCTTTGTAGACAGGTGGTCACTAAAGCAGGTTTGACTGTATACAGTGTATGTCACATGTAGATACTCTGTGGACACAAATAAGATTCTTACCTCTTCCCAAGACTTGCTGTCTCCATTGAGAGATACACACCACATGTCATTCAATCTGCAATTATAACAAATACAAATTGTTATTAAAGGAGCTACACAAAGAAAATTCACTAACAACTCATAATTAGAACAAATTACATATGGATGGAAAGATTTTCTCTTGAAACACACAAACAATTTGCTGAGAACTCATATAGATATCATGGAAAGGCGTAAAATGCCATTTTTCAAGACCCTCCTTAGACCCCTGAACGCCCCTGAATGTAAGTCGAACACACAAGCGTAGCGAGCTCTGAATAGTGACGTCACACACTGGACAAACAGCTCAGTACCGTGTAGCAGTATGCAGCTAGCCAGCCGTGTCCCATGTGTGACGTCACAAATATTGATGCTCTACAAAGGACCGCTGAAGGCAGAAAATCTGGATCTCAAAACTAACACTTTTTAGAGTTGATTACTGCAGGCCCCAAACATATTTTAAAGAGAAGAGTTGTTGTATTTGATCGGCAAGGCTTCCCCTTCGCAATGATATGAGTTTTGCATCAATTCAAAACACTTTTGATTCTTTGTGTGGCTACTTTAAAAATATTGATCTTGATAACTGTGAAAACTAAAGAACCATGCACTGTTGCAGACTGCAGAGCATGTCTTACCAACATTTTATAATTTCCTCTCTTTCTTATTTTTTCATTTTTCACATATTTTACATACATGTAAAACAGCTCCAGCACTTTTGGTTAGGAAACTACATATTGGCACTATAGATTTAATTTTTTGAAATAATTATATTAAAGGTGCTATGTCCCTTTTGCAGCCAACCTCAAATGCTGTAGAACTTTGCAGGAATTACGAATATGTCATGTATGTCCTATCTGTGAAATAAACGTTAGCAGTGTCCTCATAATCAAATGATGCAAGGAAACCCGTTTACTCAAGAAACTTCACTAGACTTCACTGTCAGACACTATTGATGTAATATGTCCTTGCTAAGAATGACTGACTGGCCTTTTTCTTCTTTGGTAATAACATACATGAAAAGAGTTGTAAAGGGTACATGAGCATTTGTCTACATGAATAACCCACTTCTTGTGATGGCCAAGATTAAACTGACTGAATATTTGCGCAGCATAAAACGTATGACCATTCGGTACAATTGTCTGAAAATCAAGACTATTACTTTTTGGCTCTATAGCCCTAAAGTCGATTTGACAACTAATAGTCGTTATTTTCCCACTTGAAGACATTTTCAAGCCCCACCTTTTTTTAGGGAAGTTCTAAATAAGTATTATCTTTCAAATGCAGTTGGAATTTAACTTTTTCATTCTTTTTGCCTGCAAATGGGACATAGTACCTTTAACTAAACTGTTTGCCTATTTTTAAATATTTTTTATAGCTCTCCCTTGTTCAACCAAGAAGTTACCTTGTTTGAAAAAAAAAATGCAAATTAAAGAAAGTCAATGAATACCAGGCACCCTATGTTCACCCTATGTGGAACCCTTCATAAGATGATATACTGTAATATAATTCATTGACAACTACTAAAGACAAATGTGACTTTATACATGTATTTCTATAGGGACAAACACAAAACCAGCACATGATGAGTGATGTGAACTTTAATTGAACTTAAGTTTCTATTGAAGACCAGGAAAGAGATTAAACATAATTAAAGGCTATCTTCAGAAGATGGAAAACTTACTTTCATTGTCTAAGTTTGGGAGATAAATGTAAAGGTAAAATGTACAATACATGTATGTACATGCCACCTTAATGCATCATGATTTCCAAGTCAGTGTTATGGCATCAAATACTTGTGGTATTGTGCCCAAGATAAACATTAGTATTGGCAACAGCATGAGGTTGGAGACTTTAAAATCCCAAGTTAATCCTTCTGGGGAGTATTTCACAAAGACTAAGATCAACATTAAGTTGGACTTTACTATGGCAGGCCTTTCATGCCACTGGTTGCTCTCCATATTGTTCTTTCAGTTATGATCTTTAGATAATATTTTTTCCATCAATAATGAACTTTCAAAAAAATGTAAATTCTGTAGATTTGTGACCATGATTTGTTCGTCCCTTGAGAAACCAATGCCAGTAAACTGTGAGAGCAAACAGTGGCATGAATGGCCTGCCATAGTTAAGTCCAACTTAAAATTGATCTTAATCTTTGTGAAACACTCCCCCGATGTTCACCTTTCAGTGGATCTATTCGTAATCTTTAGACTCGCTTGAAAGAGCTTTTTTCTAGGAATTAATCATCAATATGTTTAATATTTATATTTCCTTATTTATAAAACTACATCATGCGGCGCCATGTTTACATCATCTCTTAAAATGCAGGGCAGGAAGAAAAGTCATGTCTATTTATATAGGATGGATTTAATATGGAGAGGAAGGGAAGTTTGTACATTACACATGTCAGCAAGGCAAAGGGCTGATCCAGTATTCTGTAAAGGAGGGGGAGGGGAGGGGCACAATTTGAAAAAAAAATTCTGACCAAAATAAAGGGTTATCACATTTTTCAGGTGCATTTTGGGTCTAAACTTTGAAAGTAGGGCACAAGAATGCATTGGGGAGGGGGGAGGGGGACCTTTTTTTAGCAACATATGGGAGATTGGGTTTTAGAGGGGGGTATGTGTGGTAGGTCAGTTGTGCCCCCTTAATCTGTCTCTGAACAAGGCTCATATCGTGCAGGAAGTAGCAATACCAGACGGATATTGAGATATGTTCAGGAAGAAAAACAGACATGAATTAGAACAAAAGACATTAAAAATATTGTCTGATTACAATCAGACCATGTCTGACCTGTATTTGTGTCATACACATGTTTAACAATCTTTGGGGAATTTCAGTTGAATTCACCATGATCTAATCTGACATTTCAGTCGGTTCTGAAGATGTTTTGACTGGGAGTTTTGTTTAAATCAGAAACAGGGCAAATGAAGGAAAATGTTTCCAAAAACACATCTTTCTAGAGGATAAAACACATTTTTTCTTGTTAGCTTGGGCTTAAGAAAGAGAAAGAAAGAAAAAAAGAAAGCTAATACTACCTTCCCAAACAGAAACACATACACTAGGTGATGAATGATCATATAAAAGTATTTAAAGCCCAAATTAACAATTAAACAAAGATATTAATATACAGTAGGCTTGCGGTTGCAAGATATTAATGTCTAGTAACTTTCAATATTGGACAGGTGCATTTATTTATTTATTTATTTTTTTTGGGGGGGGGGGGGAGGGGGTTAACCTACATGTAGTTGCACAGAACAAATCAATATACTTCACAGAATCTGAGTGTACTTCTTTCTAAAGAAACAAACACAACAACAAAACAAAAAAATGTAAAAGTACCATGTGGTTAGATACAAAAACAAACAAAAAAACTCTCTTTGGCTTCCATCATTTGCAACATGATTAAGGAAGGGAAGCAGAAAGATAACATGACAGACAAGTACTCTGCATTTCAATCTCACCTGGCATTTCCATCATATCCAGCAAATATCCAGAGCTTATCTTGCCATACTGCTGCTCCATGTGCTGATCTAGCTGGGGGTAACCTTCACAAAAAATTAAAACAAGAAACAAAACATATATATATATATATATATATATATATATATATATATATATATATATATATATATTTCACATTTAGGTTCATTTAGGTTCATGTTAAATAGATATTAATCGGACTACACATCCTCAAGAAAGATTACAGAGAGTCAACCTGTTCGAAAAGTCGAGCCACTCCCGCCACTTATCCTCTCCAAGCGCTATAGTTCTCCTTAGAACTATAAGCTAAGAAAGATAACCAACAGTCTTTTTCAAGACTACACAAACAGTCCTTTTCAGGACTACACATCCTCAAGAAAGATTACAGAGAGTCCTTTTCATGACTCCTCAATCCTCTCTCTCTCTCTCTCTCTCTCTCTCACATGGTGCACCCGCAAGCCTACTGTATAGATATTATCTATTCAATATATTTATAAGTAGAACAAATTTGTAAGTAGGAAAATTTCACAATGCATTGATTTAATCTGCTGACTACTGGATTCTGTCCCCCTCCCCCCAGGCTAATATCTACTTACCATTGCTTTTCTAACTCGTAGGCAATGACGTAAAAATCATATGCCCAATATATTCAGGTAATATATACAGGTAGGCCTATGTGATTTCAATTTTTAAAGCTTCATGAATTTCAAAATCCCCTGCACTCTACAGTGTACATGTAAATTATGTAACGATTCACTCATTTGATCATCAAATCAATCTCTTTACCTGCCCTCAAATTTCCTCTCTATCCACTGTCCATTGGAGAGCTTGTATTCAAAGAGGTCATTCTTGTTGCGGAGATTGGAGTTGGAATAGATATCTCCGGTATAGCCTCCTGTAATAAACAAAGAGAAGAAATCAGAGAAGAATATTCAATTATACTAGAAAACTCAAGCAGAGTACACTTAAATCCGAAGTCATGGATTTGCAAGCCCTCATAAAATTATCTCAACATTTAAGCCTAAAAAAAAAAAGATGTTGTATTGTCCTTTGCGACCGGCCCCAAAATCTTGAAATCTATGGTCGGCTTTTTTTTAAAGTATTTTTTTAAAACCATTTTTAGAAACAAAATGTTTAATGAATAAAAAAATATGTTTTAAAGCATTTAAAACTGAGAAATATCAGCCCAAAGAGGGAGGGAAAAAAAGTGGGAAAAAAGAAGAAAGATTTCTGACCGATCGACCCATGGTTTGGCACCTTAAGGACAATACAACATCTTCTCTTTTTGTTAGGCCTTATCTGTAGCATCAAGATGAACTTATGAAAGTTGCAAAATTCAAAACAATTTTGCTAATTATGAATAAATTGGCACCATTCTTTTAGGAAAGTTCAATCATGATATTTTTTTACAACATTTTGGCACTTTTACAAGTTTTGAGATTTTCACCATGCAAATCCCTGCAACGTCCTTTAAGATTCAATGTGTCACTTTCACCATAGAATTTCACGATATGTGTATCTCTTTAAGTCAAATAGTAGGGCACTATTGATCCAAGAAAATTGATGCTGAAAGAAAATTACATGAAGCATTATTAAAAGCAGTGAGATAAAAAATTGCAACCCTAATATCTGATAGGCCTACCCTTTTCACATTAGGGCTTTTTTCACATAATTGTTTTTCTTGATTATGTGCACTAATTACAGTTACACGTACCGTTATTGTGATCGGCCAAATGGGTCTAGCCCTGGTAGCCCCCAGAATGTAATGAACTGAAACACTGAATGCAAATGAGAACTCATGACTCATTTGGCATCAACGATAAAAGGTACATGAACCTTTCGCATAATTATGTTTAGATTTCCAAATTCCATGTTTAAATCTAATTATGGTGCTGTTGTCATAGTCAAAGCAGACCTAGGCCATAAAGTACCTCATGCATCATTTCTCTTTTAAAGCTAATAAGGCAGAGATGGATTTAACAGAGAAAATATAACTTTGAATGAATGACCATAAAAAGCAACATTTATTTTCCTGTCCAGCGATCGTCTGACCTCCTTGTCCAAATACCGCACATGACAGTGACTTCAAGAAAGCATAAAGAGAAAATGAAATTGGAGATTGGCATTACCTAGACTATCAATTACCATCCTAATCTTGATTGATAGCCTTCTATCTTGTACATTGACTGATGCGCATATTTGCTTTATTTCTCTCAAATTGTTTCTTTCAACAGAGCAGTTAGAGAGGGCTGTCGTCGCTGGGTGAAGTTGGATTGTTCTCCTAATTTAATAGAAATCGACCTTCGTGTACTCTATCTACATGTATCTATCTAAGTATCTTCTCCCGGTTTGGAGGTTGATTGCAACATCTCTCCATTTCACTCTAAATCTTCTGCCATTCTGGTGCACTCTTGCAGTTTTAGTCCTCTCCAGTTCTTGACATTCTCTTCCCAGTTGATTCTGGGTCTCACTCTCGGTCTACTTCCTTCCACTCTTCCTTCCAAAGTTCCAAATGATCCTTTAAGAGGCTTTGGTGCCTTTTAACATGGCCAAAGTATTTGATTTTTCTCTCCTTAATAATAACCCAAGATCTGCATTTCAACATTTGTAAGACTGAGAGGCAGTACTACATTAGAGGAAAATTAGTTCTGAAAGTAATTTTTAGAAAGGGGAATCCAAAGGAATGATACTAGATTAAAAAATGTGCAGTTGATTACACATTTTACGTTTTAAAGGCCCACTGCACTACTTGTAGCTACTTGCGCCCTCTATATAACAAACAATGCCTAATCGGTGACCATTGGTCCCCCATGATCCTCTTTTTCTTATGTTAACTGAGAGCTGAGTTGATGAGATAACCACTTGTCCAGTGACCTTGCAGGGCAGTCTAATCCCTCCTGTAAACTACGGCAGGTAAGCTTTAAATACTGAAAACATTTAACTCTTTGGGAAAGAGTACAGGTATAACCCACTGTACCCAGGGCTCAGATTTGGTTTGGACGGGGGTGTGCCGCTCAAGCCTCAAAACCCCTATCCATATTTAAGGGTCATTTTGGTGGTGGTGGTTATTTTACCTGACTGCTAAGAAAGCATAAATGCTTGTAAGTAAGCAACCAGACGGCCGACGGCTTTAGGTCCTCTCTGAGGGACCTGGTAATGAGGATTAATGCCTTACCAAAGGGCACTAGCGCATTGCCTTGGTTTCTAAACCGGGTCACCGGATTACGAGACCACTGTTCTACCGAATGAGCTATCGCGCCTCCATTTTGGCAGAAAAGGGTACTCATTTTAGGGGTTTTTCTAGAAATATAGGACCAATTTTCACAATTTTCCAAAAAATGGAAAATTTTGAAAAAACGAACCAACGTTATGTGATATTTTTGTAAAAAATGGGACCCATCACTCCATGTTTAGGGATATTTTGTGAAAAAGCGACCTATAAGAGCAGCACATCCCTGTATGTCTTTATTAATTTATATGTGAGTTAATTGCGCCTTACTTTTGATTGACCGTGTGATGTCACAATGCTTAATCAGTAAGTATTTCACTTAGATTTTGTCTCAGGTAAGTGAAAGTCTAAAATTCTATTTGAATACGAGATAAGTAAACTTCTTAGCTTAGCCATTTACTTAGTAATTTCTTACTTATGCTAAGTATTGAATTAAATACCGGCCCAGGATCTTACAGCTTATCATGTTCCTTTCAGGCTTCTTACATGGAATTTGTGATTTTTTTTATTTGTTTATTATGACATTGTTTATCAAGGTTCCTGAATGATCTTATGATAAAACAACGTTCACATCCTGCAGTCAGGCCAAAGAGTTTCCTTTGAGGTTAAATATTCATTGAATCCCAACCATTTTCTTGGTCTTAATCAAAGAGATTCGATCATACACAGTATGTCCTCCGTAGGAGGACTAGAGGGCCAACTAAAATCGTGACCTTTGACATTTCATAGGTTTTGTATTGGATGCATTATGGGGGTTTTGTCCGATTTGAACGACGGTTTTGGAGGGTCAATGAATATTCATGAGCAATGACGTAAAAAATACGCCAACTTCTGTTTGTTGATTGGCCATCGACAAAATGTTTTATGTATTAGGTCATGCATAAAACATTTTTTGCATTCCCAGAATTCCCTACGATTTGACCACGAAAATGGCGGTTGTATGAACTGCAACTTTCAAGTTATTCAATTACGAACAATGAAACATTTTTCTTTTAAGTGAATTTCTATTATAATAGAAGTTTGTCAAGTACATCTCAGTGAAGCAGAAAATCTTCAGGCGAACATTGACATCGAAGTGAAACCCTATGATATCAAGAAAAGTAAGTAAAGATCCATTTTGTGTGAAGGTCTCTGAAATGATTGTGATGTGTTCGTCATTGCAGTGAGGGGCTCTCCGCATTGTCACAACGTCTTACCCGGTTAACCCCCTACCCCATCCTCTTTTCTTTCTTCTGACTAAAGAATATTAACTGATTGAATGAACTCTAATATAAGTCATCGACGGTAATATTTTTAGAAACAATCAGGATTTTACCGTAGGTTATTTCATTAGAGCACATCTCATAATTTTAAGTTCAGTTCATAGCTTGATTACCGATAGTAATCGGTCGTAGATGTGGACCTGTTGTAGACTGCGCAAATGGCTCATTGCTAGTCCAAGCCGACGAGATCTCGTCGAGCGGTTTATGATTTTCAATTCGCCGGTGCTAGCCGGCTGTAACACTCCACCAAGAAGCGACTGCGTTTCCTGAGCTGGCGTGGCTATAACTTTACAGTGTGTTACTGTAAAGCCTAGACCTCTAGCTCTAGACTATTCATAGCATAGTCTAGCCTGAATTTTCTGTCTCTTTCGTTCGTTAGCCTCTGATTTGGGTAGGGTCGGCTCCTCTCTTTAGCTGACCCTACCCAAATCAGAGGCTAACGAACGAAAGAGACAGAAAAATTCGGGCTAAGGCTAAGCAGAGCCTAGGCTAGGCTAGGTCTACCGTCTAGTCTAGATCTAGCACTTAACTAAGTATAAACAGCATTTAACCCCGCATCTATAGACCTAGGTCTATATCTAGGGCTAGATTCTAGGCCTAATGCATTCTAATAAATAATAACAAAAGACTAAATAGACCTAAATGCCTGGTTTAGGTGGGTCAATGTGGAAGTTATGGAGGGGGGGGGGGGGTGTGCACAATCATTCTGTGCCCCCTTATTCAGATGTGGCATAGGGACGGGTCTAGATGTAGGTCGCCCCCTACTAGTAGGGTCTACTAATAATATTAAAAATAGGCAATTAGATCTAGATCTATAGCTTGTGTTATGCCATAGCTTTAGCAAAGACTTCCATAGCCATGGGTCTAGGCTCGTTTTGCTCCACTACTAGACTAGTCGTGCGCATGTGTCATTATTGTGATCCAGGTCCAGATTCAGCTTAGTTTGAATGTAGATCTAGGCTAGATCTACCAACAACAACAAAAACAAAACAAAAAAGGTATTTCCTCCCCCCCCCCCTCCCACTTCCCCTGATTTCGCTCTTAGTTATGTCATTGTGCCTTGTTTGAAATAATTGGTCTATTTTCAGGATTTTATGCCACCCCTTTTATGTTGGTGAGAATTCTGGATCCAACCCTACATATGACATGGATATTTCTTTCTCTACGACATGAACAAAGTTATAAACTGATAACTAATGCATGCATTTGATATTAGCAGGAACCTTACTAAGTTTCTGTTTTCTTTTAATTGTAGATCCTATGGAACAAAGAAGCAGATAATGATCACAGAAGTGCAACAAAGAGCACCAGGACCTGATCATCAAATGTTATGGTGTTGATCTAATCAGGAACAAGACACCTAAGTTGAACTCTGGCAAGGTATGTTTGTATGAAGTTCGAAAATATTCAGGCTGTATAATCTAAGCCCATGCGAACACCGCACTCGACTTGGACTATATACAAAGATTTGGGGAACTGTCATCTTGTGTTGCATTATATCTGGTAATTCTCATTTATTCTCTAGCTTTATTTAGGTGACAAACTATGGTGTTGCTACAGTTTATTCTCTCAGCATATTAAAAGACATACTCAAAGGCATTTTTTCCTAAATATTACATTATATCTAACAAACTTTTGTTCACAAAAGTCTAGCAAATAATAACTTAAAATAAATTGGAAATTACTTTTAAAATAATTGGAAATACATCTAAACCTTTACTCTTCTCTTAAAAAAGGCCCTATCAGATAGACATAAGTTTATCATTTTTTAGTAAAATTAAAATGCAAGACCTAAACAAAAGTGGGGAGGTACTATTTTTGAAAATCCAATATAATGCAGCAGTTTTAATCTTATTTGATTTCTCCTCTCTTTTTGTTTTTATTATTCAGGTTGTCCCATGCAGAAGGTTTGATACCCAGGCTTCTTTTGTACAAGTCCCTAGTCCACCCTCATCTTGAGAACTGTTCCGGTGTCTGGGATCCCTACAACATCTCAGATGTCCAGGACGCTACTTCACAATGGGGACCACAAGAGAAGCAGCAGTTTGACTGAGATGATCAGCACCTTTTAGTTGCCTACTATATCTACAACTACAAGGCACTCTGCAAGAAGACTGGGAATGGTGCACAAGATAGTCAATGGTCTCTCGATCCGCTCTTCCTTGAAAATTTTCCCACTGCACTACTTATAGCTACTTGCGCCCTCTATATAGCAAACAATGCCTAATCTGTGCCTGTTGGTCCCCCATGATCCTCTTTTTCTTATATTAATTGAGAGCTGATTTGATGAGATAACCACCTGTCAGTGACCTTGCAGGGTGGTCTTATCCCCCTGGCCAAACTAGTACAGACGGGCTTTAACAAATCACGAGCAGGAAGTACCATGACATGACCCTCCAGTTGCACCAAGCCAGAAGCGACATAGGTAGACAAGTTTGTATTTGCCCAACACTCTGTCCCAAAGTTAATGGAACTGACTTCCAGCAAATATAGTGCATGCTGACAGTCCAGAGAACTGCCAGGGACTACTTCTGAGGCATCTATTCTCCTTATCCCACTTAGAAACAATCTGTCTTCCTCACACCACTTGTAATCTTTAGTATTAGTTCATCTTCATGATAGGCTACAACGCCTTTTGAAGATTACCAGAAGAAGAAGAAGAAGAAGATATATCGAGGATCATGAAAGTAATCATTTGTTCTTTTAAATGCGTGTACATGTAACATAGTTTTTTGATATTTAATCTTAAGTCAAGTTCTGACAAAAATATGAGGGATGCTGAACTGGATAGTAAATTGTAGGGGGGGGGGGATAAAATGATATAGTTCAATAGTAAGACTGTATTAATATAATTAATATTAATAATAATAACAATATTAAAAATAGTAACAATAATGACAATGATCATGATAATAGCAGTAATAATAATGATAATACAGGTAGTAGTAAAAACAACAACAATAATGTCCAATGTAAGATAAAGTACTCATAAAACTCAGTATATACCTGTGCTTTACATAATAAAATAGCATGTTGATATTATTGGAATATTTTTTTCTTCAAAATCTACAGTAAATTTTTACAACTGAAAGATTTGAATTCAAGAGACAGCACCCCCTCCCCCCATCCATTTGTCATCATTTTGTTGATGTCATGTTGGATTTAAAAAGACTTTATAGAAACAAAATATGTTGATAAATGAGTTCATAAATGTTAATAAATCAGTTAATACTGCTGAATTCTGTTCTTTTCATTTTCTTATTTTGTGAAATATATGTGATGATGCTGGTGATTATGATGATGTAGGCACTCTGTAATGATAATGCTGTATGACTGAGGTGAGATGGGGGCTGATGCAGTCTTGTGTAGAATTGAGTATGGTGTTCGACCTTTTGATGTTTGTTTATATCTGGCATCAGCGAGATAGATTTAACCATCTTTCCTAATGAGAGAGAAAGCGGAAATGTAACAAGAGAGTGGGCAAGACTTATGTATAAATGCAGTATAAAAAATGGTTTACAATAAAGATGAGGGGGGGGGGGGGGGTTAAATAAAGAATAAGTTGATGCCGAAATGATGAAAGCATAGGTAATTGGGGTAATAGAGCCTATGGAAATGTCACTATTAGAAGGGGTCTCTGTATTGAAAATGTTACTGTTGGGGGGGAGGGGGAATTAAAAAAAAATCAGTGGCGACGAATGCAAGAATGAAAAGAACGAGACAAAATTGAAATTTCATTGGGGATGGCCGGGGCACAATATGAAGATCATTGAAGTCGAGGTGAGAATGATTCATTAATTGGACACTAAAAATATGAAAATATCACTTGTAAAGTGGGCTAAATGATCAGTGCAATTTGTCTGATTTTAAAAATATTTAAGTTAATAAAGGAACAAAAAAAAAAGAGGTAACAAATGAATTGAGTGAAATGGGGTCATTATTTTTGCCTTTTAACTGAACTGAATTTTTTTTAATGTACTTTCCATCCTGGTGACAGTGAAGTTTGTGGCCCCACCTAAGTCAACCATTTAAAAGTCTCCCCCCTCCCTCCTCCCCACACACCTCCCCAACTCTGACCTTTGTTCTACATTTATCAGGATTCTGTCGATATAGTAACGCATGCGCATTGTCTTTTTTTCATTGCGATAATATGCTAATAAGTGGAAAAGAGCTCATGAATATTCAAAATTTTAATTTAAATATTTTGCGCGCTGCGCGCAGTCCAAAATCCCCATTTCGCTGGTGCACTAAAAACTTGTCGTCTTCATAGGCTAATACACGATAAATGGAAGCAGTGTGCACTTTTGACCCTCCAAAATTTCCCCATGGCTAGACGGATGCAGAAGCGGAGTTGAACCCCCCTGGTCTTAATACACTAGAATATCCATTACCTGGTCACTGCCCTCAGTTTTTATGAGAAATTTACTGTATCATTATTGATGATCTGAACGATATTCACAAAGGTGAGAGGAAACTGAGGAAATCTTAAAAAGAGTCTGAGTGGAATTGTGTCAACCCTTCTCAGAGAAAGTGTTCATTTTCCTTTTGAATGTTGGGTATACAAATTATGATCCCTTTCCTGATTTTGAGGAAATATACTTCCGTTTGAAATCGGTGAAAACTGACAAGGCGTTAAGGACAGAATGGTACTAAACTACTTTTAAATGGCACTTCTCGATTTCACCTGTTTCATCTTCTTCTCATTCCGTCTTCTCCCACCCCTCCTCGTACTGTATCTCCACCTTTAATGGAAAGGTGATTTTCTTTTGTGGTTCCCTCAAGTTTGATCAATGTCCGCTCTGCAATACACCTGTTAATAATATGTGTTCTTCTCCCATCCCACCTTATATAACTTATCACCCTTCTTAAAGCCTCTTTCATACACAATGCTGTAAACCACTTCAAAGAGCACCACAGCAAAATTAAAATGATAGAAAATGACACAAAAATGCATTCACATTTCTTTATCTTTAACACACACATCATAGATTATGCTTTAATCAAAGCATTTGTTTTTGGCAAGAAATTTTTTTTCCAGCTCAACTTGCCATTCATTCACACATCAATCATTCTCATAGTACTGCAGTGTGAACATGGCTATTGGTTATACAGGTATGAATTTCCAAAAAGATGATTTTTCTCTGATGTGCCCTTGAAATTCTGTCAATGTCTGCTCTCCAATTACACCTGTTACACCTCTTCTTCCTCCCTGGCTTCCTTGCAAGGTACACCAGCCGTTGATTGCTCCCAGCTATCCCAACAAGGATAACCCCTCCTTCATGATTTCTGCTTCATCATCCCCTTCCCCTGATAGCCGTGCACCAAGGCTCAAAATACACGGGGTGGCGGGCGATTCGCCCTCGTGAGCTGCATTATGGTGCACTAACCAACATCTACATGTACTATGGTTTGGATTTAAGGTGTACATGATGTTTAAAGTACCCAGCTAATTCATTTCATGTTTAATAAAAATCTACTGTAAATGTGTGAACTGCTCCAAGCTACAGTATACTAAAAGGTACCTCCCCCCTCGATGATTTCTGTTTTATCATACCCTTCCCCTGATAACCATGCACTAACCAACATCTACTACGGTTTAGACTTTAGATGCTTACATGTAGGTGTAAAACGTTTAAAGTACCTAGCCAACTAATTCAAGTTTAAAGGGAAAGTCCACCCTGAAATTAAGTTAGTTTTAATAGGAGTAGAAAAATGAGAGAAACAAGTCAGTGAAAGTTTGAGCAAATTCCGATTAAAAATAAGGAAGTTAGGATTTTTTAAGTTGTGATCAATCAAACACAAATTGGCAACTCTATGACGTATCATGCGAGCTCAACTTCCATTTGCTCAGTACTAAAAAAATCTAAAATTTTCATTTTCCCTCAAGAAAAATTTCAACCGTACATGCACCCTAAATATAATAATTGCAAATATGTTTCTATACTCCCCCTGCAAGGAACAAATATATATTCCATCATCAATAACGAAGAAAACATGATTTTATGGAATATTATGCACAAAGCAAATGAAGGAGAGCTCGTATAATAAGTCACAGAGTTGCCAATTTGTATTTGATTAATCACAACTTCAATAATTCATAACTTTCTTATTTTCATTCAGAATTTGCTCAAACTTTCACTCACCTGATTTTCTTATTATTCTGCCTCTATCGAAACAAACTTATTTTGGGGGTGGACTTTCCCTTTAATGAAACCTAAATGTGTTAATTGCTCCAAGCTACACTAACAGGTAACCCCCCTTAATATCACGCCATTCCCCTGAGTGATAGCTGGTATCCAGTAGGCAGTTTTCATCAACATCTACTGTGTACATACATGTAGTACTTCATGTTAACTGTACCTGGTTATATCATTTCAAAATATTTAGTTAAACCTTTAAATTTCCAAATGTTCTGAATGTCTGATAATGAATTACTTTTTAATATTAAAAAAATATATTGATTGTCTAAATGTAGAAGATTTTGTGCTCTTGAATAAAAACCAATGAGTCACATCTATAGAAGAAAAAAATACAATTTGGAGGGCTCTCAAGAATCCTTGTTCCAAGATTTACGTGAAAGAATTGAAAATCATGCATTTGTCATTGAACGGATATGAACTGCAAACTGCATAAAATGGCAGATCAGTGGAAAACATGACTGATATCAGAAGTGAATGACATGGGCATACTGAACTACATATGTTTGCCTGATTTCTTGAAAGAGTACATACATGAACCTGTTCAAAAGCAAAGTTTGAGGCTTTGAGCTTCCATTCCTCCCCTATTTCTATTCTCTTGGTATCTCAAAGATGACCAATGGTCACATCCATCAGGTGTACTATTTCTAGCTCTTCTTAATTTTTTCTCCAATTGAGGAAATTTGATTTTAGATAAGGATTAATTCAGGTAATCCCTTTAGGAGGTGCTGGATTTTTTTAATAGATAAATCAAATTGAATTCTAAAGCTCTCTGTCACTAATGGCATAATGAGGTTGTCTAATATAGAGTTCTATTTTTAGAAAGAGGTACGAGATGCATGTAGATGTCCAATTTCTTTAAAACGGTCCTCTTGCTCTTTTTATTCAGAGCATTGCACTGGAATAAATTTGTTGCATGGTATTGGATACAGAATGATATTGATGTGATTGGTTGTTCCAGCTCTTCTGCAAATAGACTCTACCAGCAGTTGAATGGATTTTAAAGGCTAATGAAGTCAAACATTTTTATAGTGAGCACATCCTTATCCTCTTTAAACGTCACCTATTCTGTGAATGGCTGAATAGATGACGTTTAAAGAGGATAAATCCACGATGTGAAGTAAGGATTCAGTTTATGAAATGTTGCATCAGTGATTTCATATCAAAATCAACATCAGAAAACAACTTAATTCTCAACAGGAAGAGTGTAATGTTACACCTTCACCAGTTTTTGACAGAGAGCAAAATATAAACATATTAACTGAAATAAAGCATTAAACATTACTTTGCATGTATACGCACTGTATGAAAGTGAACCAAAAAGTAACATGCTAGGTTACAGTAGTATTTAACAAATCAATCTCAAAAAACATATTTAAAAAAGTAAAAAGAGCACTGGTACATAGCCAAAATCAAGGAAATACAAAAATGACATTAAATCTAGCATCGCCTTGTCAAAAATCAAGAACAAGCTTGAGGCATAGGAAGCACACATACTTTCTACACCCTATATCAGGCTCAGTTTTTCCCCAGAAAATTTGGTCTCTTTTTTTCACAAATGCCTTACAGGCATGATCTACTTTGAGTGAATAGAATTCCGAGCGAAAAGAGCAATGGAGTGAAAACCACAGAGTCTTATGATATGAAATTGTGCACATAGTAAGAGGTACTATTCTAAACTTTTAAAGATAGAATGTATGATGAAATCAGACTTAATTTATTTTAGAGCAAGACTATTTGAAGGGTGACAAAAGTATGGAATTCCCTGGTAGTTACAGTACTCCCCCAGTGTAATATGAAGATACAAATACATGTACAGTGTACATGTATGATTTTAGGGCTCAACATTTTCACAACAGTGTGAGTAGAAATTATATTCATCTTATGGGAAATTCATGCCTACATGTACTAGTTTAACTCCCATACCAAACATTGATCAACAAGCTTTAACAGAAATTCTTTTGCTGCCTAACTTCCAAGCTTAGGATTGAATGGTGGAAATGGAAGCAGACTGTACAGAAGAAGATAAGTTACAAGGAGGCACATCTTAAAACGCTTCAAAATGATGAAGAAGTGCCTCAAAAAGTAAAATCTTTGAGTGACCGGTTTTACCATACTCGTTTTCCCCAATAAACTGTAGTGTTATGAAAACCGTTAGGAAAACACAAAATCTGATTTCGATTTCCAATCATAAATTTCTTGATAATCAGACAGGCTATATAATTTATCATTGCAGCATGAGCTAATCCCTTTAACAAGGAAATTGAGCATGGGTGATGAATCTGGTGCTAGCACCTTTGTTCTACTCCCTGTAGGAGAGAAGACGATGATGGAATCAGTGACCTAATGAGATGCTGACAGAGTAGGACAGCCTCATTTTAATTACAAGCTGAGATAACTCTTGTGGGTGTTGAAATAGGCTTTTGAGAGAGAGAGAGAGAGAGATGGAAAGGGGAGTGAGGGAAAGATGAAATATTATATAAAACTTAGAAAAGAGGGTGGGAGACAGAGGATATAGAAGAGGAAGAGGGAGAGAGAGAGGGGAGAGAGATGGAAAGGAAAGGGAGAGAAAGATTACAGATGAATAAATTTGAAATTTGAATTTGAAATTTGATATAGAAGAGAGAGGGAGAGAGAAGGGGTGAGAGAGTAGGGGGGAAGAGAAAACATAGAATATAGAAGAGAGAGATTGAGAGAGGGAGACTGAGGATATGGATAGATAGAGAGAGGATGAGAGAGACTGGGTGTGAGGGAGACACAGCAGAGAGAGAGAGAGAGGAGAATATTTAAAGTGGCCTTAGACTTTCCCTTCAGATTCATAACCACCACAAAACATCACAAAACAATTTTATGATGTTTCATCGTGTCACTTTATTCACATACTGTAGTAAGCTGTCTATTTTAATTGAAAAGGACAGAACTTGTTTATAAACATGTTTTGACAGATTTGGAATACTAAAATGCAAAAGGAAATAGAGATTATAATAGTGTACTTACCGAAAATGAACATACTGCCATTGTGAACGACTGCAGAATGGTGATACCTCGGTGCTGGTGGACTTCCAGTGGTAAATGCCCTGAAAAAGAAATTATAGGTTTTTTAAGAAAGTGTACCAATCTCTCTCTCTCTCTTTCTCTCTATGTTTCTATCTCTCTAATATTAAAGAGTAACACAATGTACATGTTCGATGAACTCTGACCATGTCTGTAGCTGGCCGGTGGATTACTGATTATCAGATGTGTATGACTAAATATTGATTTTTATTGAAATGTACTAACAGTACTACCATTGTCATTGAGGGGAAAGGAGGGAGGGGGGGGGGGTGGATATGATACTTTAAATGATAAGGGTTTAATACAATTTCATACTTAGTCTGTTATAACTTTAGGGGATACATACATGTACAGTATGTGTGCTAATGACAAACAAGAATTCAAAGTTTAAGTACCGGTATACATAACTAAAATATGGCAATCTTCAATGAAAAAATATATATTGTTTACCCTTATGTAATGTTTAAGAATGGTGCTTTTTGAACAGGCAATCGATCAAAATTTGCATATAAGAGGTAAGAAATATTAAGTATTTGCACAGTTTACAATATTAATGAAGATTGGTACAATTGATGACCAGAAGATGTTTTTTGTAGTGCGGAAAAGAGAAGACTAGAAGAGTATGAGTAGATACAAACATTGAATTTACAGGAACTGACTTTGAAATAAGATTAGGCTTTTAAATGGTAAAGGATTGAATTTATATCTAAAGCTAGAGAAAGGGTTCTTGTTCTTTGTTTTTTTATAATAAGATACTAACCTTCCCCATGAGCTATCATTGACGTCAAACCTCAGCACGTCATTCAGCATGTTTTTCCTCCTGTAAATGGAATCAATAGAGTAAGCAAGAACATGAGCATGGACATAAACATGTTTATTAATTCTTTATACGCACCTATCAGCCAGAAATGTGCAGGTTGTATCAACGAAAAGTCGTACATACATTCATTACTTGAATTTGAATTTGAAGTTTATTAAAAACAGTTTTATACAATAATATAAAAGGATTAAACGAACCAGAAAATAAAATTAATACTAATTGAGCATGGTACCTTCGAGCATATGAAAAACACTGTCTGGGCATATACATAGAATAAACAAACAGATTTGAAATGTTCATGTAGTAAAGCTACTGTCTGTCATTCATGAAATTGTTCCTGATGTAATTTATACTAATGAATGCATAATGTGAATTTTTAATGTGGATTGTTTGTCAATGGCTTATTTTCTTGACAAGTTGACAGGTCTCGATATGAACAAATATTGGCAAAGATCTTTACAGGGAATCATTTTCAAACTTTCAATGATAAAAAAAATTTGAAGAGTCATTTCATAGGAAGCCCAAATATTGGCATAGCCTGCCCATACAGTACATCCATCTACAAAGTTCAATTGAAGTACGATGACACACCGACAACATGGTGGCCTGGGGCCCATTTCTTGAAACCTTCATAAGTAAGTATAACTTCTTGACTATTCCATTGAAACGCATGTTAATTGTATAACACATGTTTCAATAAGTTAAGACTTGTGACAGTTTCGAGGAACGGGCCCCTGTACTTTAACAGATGAAGAATACTTACCCATTATCTCCTCCAAATACATAGACAGCATCGTTGTATGCCACAACGGTGTGCTTGCTCCTCCTGTGTTCAAATGAGGTGAGAAACAAGACTAATTATGAATTTTTGAAATAATTGCTATAACCGTTAAATATCAAATTGGCAATGCAGAAAAGATATTTTATGTATACAACATGTGTATTTGCGTTTCTGGCAGAACCAACATCATGAACTCATGCGAGAGGTTAGCATTTTGGTAATGTAAATATTGCCTTTTGCAGGAATTGGGCGATTGCGAACGCTCTTTAGGTTTTATGTACATCACTCTTTACACAGAAGTGTGGGTGCCAATTATAGACCCAATCATTTTTGTGTCAGTGAAAAAATTGCACCCTTTTGCCATGGCTAACGCAGTTTTGCAAGTCACTCTCTCAGTCTCACTCTCACCGACAGTCACTGGTCTACCGTCTAGAGTCTAGTCTACTCCTGTCCTGATCTCAATAATTTGATAGCTATGCAGCCAAGTTAAAGTTAAACAATTAATCCAATGACTCTTAGCCTTTGAAAATAAAGTGACTCCCCCCCCCCTTTCTTTTTCAACAAGACATGACACATGCATTCACGCCTTGGCCCTAGGCCTAGATAGCGCGGTATCGCACGCACCTTGCACCAACAAACTCGTCGCACTCGGGCATCTGTCTCCAGCGGTGCACCGTTTCATATGGGCCAGAGTCGATGGTCACTTCTTGCCAGCAGTGGGGCTCGAATTTACGACCATCTGCCATCATTCATGGAACAAATCTTGATAAAAATCGGCCAACAATCGATGTATGATGCAAGTCGTGAGATTTGGATATCGGAGTGTAGAATTAGCTGCTTTTGAGTGACTCTTGAAGGTTTTTTCTCGGGTGGAAAAATTAGTCACTGCGTGTCGCCATTTTGTTTTTTGGCCCTCTCTCGACCAAAGCGAGAAAGTAAAGATTTCACATCAAAACATCGTGGGCGTGGCATGAGTCTATTTATAGACTATACAGAGATCTGTGATAAAAATAGGTATCCGGTTGGACAATTTCATTTTCCAAAGTAATGATCCTAAAACAACACATGAGAACATTTAAGGTGAAAATCTCAAGGGTTTGTATCAAAGTTTTTATTGAACAATGAGAAACTATGATCATTATGGTAAGATTCTAGTGGCTTGTAAAAGTGTAAGAAACATGATCCCAGAGAAAAAATAACATACATTAGCCATTGCAGATAAATGATGTGAAGAAGTACGGGAGAGACACGAAATTAGGTCTATTATATAGGGAGCATAATCAAAAATCCTTTATTACAAATCGTCATATACATAGAGCCGCACTAGTGCACCTGAAGCAGCTGTAATTAGTCCCGGGGGTTTTCTTTTTTTGTTTTTTCTACATCTTCTTATTATTATTTTCTTTTTCAAAATAAATTTCCTAAGAAATATCCAACCTATCCCGAAGATTTGTATGTAGACTACAAGTATATAATGTTGTGAAAGCAAACACACACTGGGATAACATCCTATTCTTTGCGAGAAGTGTAGCGTTCCAACTCTTTTTCTATATTTCATTAAGATATTTGTTCTGTAATATTTTTAGTTTTTTTCTTATCTTTCTTTCTGCTTATGTTCCCCTCTAGTGCCCGATGAACCAGGGCATGTGAGTTTAAAGTTTCACCTCCCTGGATGAACTAAACGTTTTCCCCTTAACCCAAGTCTGCATCGAGAACAGAGGAGGGAGAGGAGGGGCTCGTTTACACACAACGCGTCGACAATCATTTTTGCATTTTCTGGGTTTGCGCTCAGCGCTGGACTGGAACCCATACATATCTCGAAAGTCACGAGAGTCAGGCGACGATCCCATCTCGCCACACCCCCTCCTTATATTAAAACTCTTACCAGCTCTTCTGACAATGTTTTGTTCAATTATTGTTCAAAACATTAGTTCATCTTCATATCCTTTTCAAAATGGAATACCAAATCTCTCCATGCCCCACCCCACCCACCTCACCTTCCAAAAGACAAAAGAAACATTTGATCATTTGTATGGAGAGGTGATCTTTCTTTTCCATTAATTTACCCCCCCCCCTTTTTTTTTTTGATAGCATGGGAAATCGATTCAAAAATCATTTCCGTAATGAATTGATATTTCAGTCATGTACTGGTACGCTTCGCTCATTCTAAACGATACAGACTGACATTACGCGCATCACTCACTCAATGCAGGGACAGGTGCAGCGTGTCGCCGACACAAACACCAGACCGAAAATTAATAATTTCATAAATTTAGATTTGAATGATTTTTTGTTTGAAATTCAGACTCTCCTGGTTGTTCCTTTTGCAAAACTGCCCCTGAAATCTACGTACACATTCTTTTTGACAATTGTAACGTTGTTAAACCTTTTTGAAAAGGGACTATAACTGGGCTAATCAGCAAAATAATGTCATAAAATGTTTCGATACTCGAAAATTTGTTTGGTATGGCCAAAACAAATTGCTTACATAATTTGATTAAATTTTATATTTATATATGCAAATTCCAAAAAAATTCCCTCAGTTTTCAAGATTTTAAAGCTTGCTTTGATATTTCTAAAGATCTTGAAAATGGAGGTTTGAAATATAATTTCTTTTTTGGCTGCCTGCATTCCTTTTATATTATTCTTTTTATATTTTTGTTAACGATTAATGTTCTGATATACCGTATATTAGTCTTATTTTATAAAATTGTGTTACTCTTGATTTTTAAAGACACTCCAATTATTTGTTAATGTTGTGATTCTATTTTTATTCAATAACACATTTAAAAATAAAGAATAAACATACACCAAACGGAAAATGGGGTTAAATTTGGGTTTCCAAAGACCAAAAGAGACCTGAAAAGATCCTTTAAGCCCAGACTCTCCGGCCAGAAAATCTTGGGTGCGCCAAGTGCTGGCCTCTCTTTTATTTGCATATGTTATATTCATACAGCCCCCAACAGAAAAAAAAGATAAATCCTGTATCCAAAATCTTCACTTGACTTAAGGTATATCACATTGGGTCTTCAATTATTGTGAAAGGTCAAGGGACAGTTGTGCTCACGTTTTAAATTGATTAAAATTAATCAATTATTGGGGGGTTTGCTCCGCCCCCGCCCCCCATGATTCGCCAAGGGCTTATAGAATCACCTTAGGGACTTTTAGATCTCGTCTTCTCGTCTTGTGAGCTTATTGTTCTCCCCTCCTTTTTATTATTTTCTCTATCATTTATCATCTTCTTTTCTCCCCACTCTTCATGCCCTTCTCTTCCCCTAGTCTCTAACTCTGTTTCTGTATTTTTATCAACATATTTGTTCTTTTGATTTTTTAAGGGGAAGGTGGTCTTATCTGTTCTTGTTTACTTATTTCCACCTCTACTCCTTCCCTTCATTTGTCTACTACTTGTCCTTAATCTTGCCCTCTTTCTTGTTTTTTCTCTCTATTTTGTCTCAATTCTCATTCTTCTCTTCTTATTTCCCATTTATCCTTCTTTTCGCGCAGCACTACAATACTCTTCTTCCATTCTTCTTCATCTTCCTCTTCTTCCTCCTCTTCTTGTTCCTTTTCTGCTTCCTTATCTTCTCCTCATTCTCCCTCCTTCTCCTCCTTCTTCTTCTTCTTCTTCTTCTTCTTCTTCTTCTTCTTCTTCTTCTTTTTCTTCTTCATTTTCTCCTCCTCCTCCTTCTTGTTCTTGTTCTTGTTCTTCTTGTTCTTCTTCTTTTTCTTCTTCATTTTCTCCTCCTCCTCCTTCTTGTTCTTGTTCTTCTTGTTCTTGTTCTTCTCCTTGTTCTTCTCCCTCTTCTTCTTCTTCTTCTTCTTCTTCTTCTTCTTCTTCTTCTTCTTCTTCTTCTTCTTCTTCTTCTTTTTCATCTTCTTCCCCTACTTCTAAACTTCTCCCCTAGAGTACTTGTCCTTGTAATTATTTTCAACCCGTCCCCTTGACACTTTTACCCCTTTTCCTTTAAAAAAAACTAAAACCACAGACCACCTCTATTTCAGTACTCGCGGATGAGTCACAAGTCAGCGATTTGGGAATATAATACCTCGCCAAAACAGTTTGACCCTAGTTGACCTACCCAGGGATTGGGCGATCAAGTGCGGGCAAGGACAACATATACCACAGGGAAAGTCCATACAAATGGGAGCCATTGATAAATGCGTCTTGACATTATAAACAAAGAAGTGTACTATTCGACACCGAAAGTATTCGGAAGGAACATAATGAGCATATTGTTTGCCGTCAAAAAGTTTTGTATCGATTTTCAAGCAGGCACCCGATTTGGAATGTGACCTACTAGAACAGGAAAAAACGAAGCTACTGGAATTGTTATAATGTTGTATAGATGTTTTTACAATAGAGTACATTCTTATTGATCTGAAAAGATAAAGCACACTGAACGAGGGAGGCATTTTGACACACTGTTTTATAACTTTTTCCAAAGCACAGTCATCAAATGCCACAATACATTTTGTTTTTACTTGTAAGTGGCAGTTGTAGCACATGTATAACGCTCTCCGAAATAACAATAACAAATAACCGGTGGAATAGGAGGGGGGGGGGGGATAGAACTCATGTAGGTCTCGTTTTTATGGTATTTATTATCAGTTAAAAAGGAAGGAATAATTGACATTTTATAAGTGAAGATAGAGTATAGAGTCACCTATAAGTTTATTTTTCCCTCCTAATCTGTCATTGCCATTTCATAAATCCTTTGCAGTGTAGCATTCAATAGTTATAACACTTTTCATGAGGGCCTCACATAAAAAAATTATACAAATTCACTGTTCATAGATGATTTTCAAAATAATTAGCAATTTTCTAGGTGTAAACTTTTTTTGGACTCGCACTGTATACGTCACAGAATGTTTACAGTTTTTGTCTTGAATCTTACCTGAAGTGATTATGTAGTCGACAAATAAATATATTGCTGTCATGTGTTTGAACAACAAAACAACCTAGGCCATGGGTGACCAGGCAACAAATTTGAGGAAACGTGATTTGTGTATCACGTACATAATACGTCAGAGCAGCAGGGGCGTATCCGGAAATGATAAGAAAGAGGGGCGGACTCCTCGTCTCCAGGTGTGGGGAAGGGGGGGGGGGGGGTTGGTGCATTGTGTAACTGAGTATGCCCCATTGTAGACTAATTAACATGATAACAAGTATACTCATATTTTTGTAATGCGCTTTATACAGTTAGGCATGAAACAGTGGGGAGGGGGGGGGGGATAGGGGACTAGGGGTGAGACGTACGCCATTTTTAAACTCTGTTTGATATTCCATCAGAGAAGGGCAAGTCACGTGGAGGATGGGACTAAAAGGAGAACAGGCAGACAAAAAAGGAAGTTTTAATTAGAGAACTGAATAAATAAGAATAAGTTTACAAAACGATATATAGTAATACTGACAAAAAGCAGAACTAGATTTCATAAAGAAACAAGAATGACTCAGTCGAAACCTCAAATCTCGAATGTCAGCGAGGGATACAGACATCTTTCAACCAGGTATACGGTAGCCATAGTTACAGGCCTAATTATTGTATCAAATGTACAGAAGTTATGAACAAAAATAAATCCACAAAGGTCGATGGCCCTCATCGCTATCAACATAAGCATTATCACATTGAAAATCACATCAGTGAAGGGTAAATATCTGTTTTTAGCATCTAACAGGTGTATTGCTCAGAAGCGTTGTCATGGTGATGATAATGGTGTTGTATAAGTAATGAAAAGTGAAATTTTAATTGTTCACTCTCGTTGATGAAGTACTGTGTGTAGTTACAAATTACTATTAAAGTGAAGACAATTGTAAACAATGGCAAATTATATCAATTTAATAAATGTTTATATTAACTTATTATAAATATGATATATCAATATATTTATATTGTATTATATCATATTTTGTAATGTCATGC